TCTTAAAGGATTCAGAGATTCGCATGGAGAAGTGAGTCTTTCACATTTTACTAGGTTCATGCATTTCCCTATTGCTTATTTTCATGGCAGGCATCACACATGCATTCAGCAGGTTTTAAAAGTGTAAGAGCAAGGCCAAAGAACAAAGAATATGATGATAAGAAGGGGAAAAGCACTGTGAGGAAAAAGGGATTTTTCTGCAATCTTGTTCACCTATAAATCAAAATGATGCCTTTGACTGAACTTCACTATCCATATAATTTATCAAGGAATGAAAAAAATAATAAAAACAAAGGGGGATCCAGTCAAGAAAACCAATATTTTAAGCTTTCTCAAGTGCCTTATCAAACCTTTTCTATTCAGACCAAATTCGTCACATTTCAACCATTTAAATGAACTCAGTGTGAATCAAATGTATAGAAGAAATGATAAAACATTTGAGTATGTAATCTCTTTAGCTGAGCCGCACTACTTAAGATGGTGTTGCTGTGGAGAGGAATGGGGAGAGAAAGAAAAGACTTTAATTTTTTCTAATTTGTCATGCTTTTCTAGAGCATTTGAATGGCTGCACCAGAAAGCCACACTTTAGCAAATTTGTTCTGATACACAATACAAAAAGTCTGATGAAATGCAACAATAGCTAGGAACTATGATATTAACAACAACCAGAAACAAACTGATATTTAATGCAAACACTACAAAGTCACTCTTAGTCAGCCTGACCATTCTGAAAGAGGTTGACCTCCCGTTGAAATATGAGGGGCACAATGCTCTGGTTCACACAATACATTAATCCCTGGTTAACAGAATTGTGGTTTATCAAATTAACCCAATTTGCACAACTTCCTGAACTGAGAACTAACCAGCCATATTTTAACCCAGCATGTTATGGGAACTCCGCTAGTTTGTGAACATTCCTAGATCTACACCTAGAGCTCAATGCTCCAATTTTAGGAGTGTGTTTGCTGAGCCGAGGTCAGCAGGCCACCTATTCCCATAGATGAGGCATCCAATTGAGCTCTTGTGAAACACGTTTCAGGTTTTAGTTACACTGTACCTCATCTGGACTGTTACAGTACATGTTCTGAAACTTCAGTTGTTACAGAGAACACACAATGCTCAGATCAGAATAGCTGCACCAGCTGCCATGCTGCCTCTGAGCACAATTCAGAGTACTGTTAGGAATTAAAGGGGTTAAATATTATCTAAAAGATTGTCTTCTCACAAAGGAAACAGTGCAGGTGGTGAGATCTACAGAAGTTACTTCTGACCTCCCAGGCTTTGATCTCTTTGGAGAGATTAAAAAACAGTTTATAGGTGATTGTGCCTAACTTGGAAACAAGAGAGTGGAAGGTGGGGGGAGTATATATTCCCCGTTTTGCCTTTCTGCTGATGGGCAAACTTAAAAAAAAAAAAAATCACACGAGGTCTATAGAACTGATTGGTTTTCCTCTACTGATTTTTTTTGTTGAAAAAAACTATATTTTAATTTAATGTGACTTCGATTTTGATGTAGCTTAGATAGCTTGATTTTCCTTTTTTCTTTCTTTCTTTCTTATTTTGCACTGTTGACTGTGCAGTTTCTCTTTTCCCCTCTGAAAAGCAGCGTAAGAATGCATTACTTTCCAGAGAATTGTGGCTGATTTTCTTGAGCTTTCTTGAGGTATTGACCAGGAAACAGTGACATCTTGTGGTTGTCAAAATCATGAAAATCTATTAACCAAACATCTGTATGCTTTCTCAGATACAAGCAAGCATGCTAATGACTGCATTATCATTTAAACAAAACACAAAACAATCTGGGCAATGTTAGATGCAATTATTTCCCATAATTAGATCTGGTGCTGTTTCAGATGAGACAAGTTGAAGCATAATTGGAATGATTCAAATGCAGCAATCAGAAATGCTGCCCCATGGTTAACTAGCTTTTCAGAGGGGAGGGGACAAGGTTTGGAGAATCTTAAACACCCGTTTGGAAAATAGCAGTTTCAAAGGCAAAAATACATAAAACGTGATGTTATGGTGGAAAAAAAGAAAAAGGAATAAGGAACACATCTGCTTTATGTACTTCCAGAGCATAAGACATTTCAGCAGGTGGAGTTTGGTATCTCACAGCCCTGTAGAGAATTTTAAAAAAAAATCACCTTGATCAAAACTAGTTGAGATTATCTTCCCTGCGTCCCCTCTTCTGTGGATTGTGCTGTTGACCTACAATAGCAGTGAAGAAAATAATTGGATTTGGGCCCCAGCAACCACGAGAAAGGTAGTCCCCCCCCAATAGCTTGATGTTCACTAATTTTAGAGTAAAGGGAAGGAATGCAGTCCATCTTCATGCTTCCAATGTATGCAAGCGGAATGGTGTAGAGACCAGCAAGACCCAGCTGACTTTGGCTAATTGAGTTAGGTCTTGGATGGGAAACCACCCCAAAACCCTAGGGCTGGAGACTTTTCTGGGCAGTTGAAAAAGCAAACCCAGAAGACGATGGCAAATGCTTCCTTCCTGTTGTAATGAAAACTTCACATGGTCACCTGGAACTGATAATTCAAGGGAGATTTTACATCTATCTGTCCGATATACAGCCTTTTTTTTTGTACAACTCAACATGGCATACAGAGCGTCATGTTCCCTCCTCCTATTTTCCCCACAGCAACAAACACAGCAGGAATGTTGACCATTATACTGTTTCCAAGAAAGAGGTAGCTGAAGTCTTCAGATGTCACACTCAATATCCCCAGTCGCTCTACAGTTCTGTAGGGGTGGCCCACATCCACGCAGCAAAGACCCTCCTGCTGCATGATAGGGCTAATTGATTGCATTGGAGATTCTACTTTTGGTGGCAGTTCTATTGTAAGCGGCGCGTGTGCTAAGGAAATCCAAAATTTTAAAAAGGGGAAATGGAACAACAAAGCACTTTGCCAGTTGTTGAACGTTAAGTATTAAGTACATCTGGGATTTTTTTTATTTTTATTTTTGCAAAATATAATCAGGGCAAGGTGTTGAAAAACTCATCAGAAACCAGTGTAGACATCTTCAGTCTAATCTCAGAACATCCCCCATCCCAATTCCTTGGAAAGTGACATGATCATCCAATATTTTTCTGTTCATTTCAGTGGCCTTAATAAGGCCAAACAGCAAAGCAATTATTTAAACATGGAAGGCAAAAACTGAGTTCAGAGGAAAGAACAAGCAGATGATAGCTGTAAAAAGAACAATAGAAATTTGGACTACAATTAGTATTTCTTTGCTATTTAAACGGCCAAACAGTAAAACGTGCCAAATCTTGACAGTTTGACAAAGATATATGTAGTCTTGCCAATGCGATGCAGGCAAATGTCACTTACCTAGTTATTAAAAATTGCCCTTAGGCTAACATCGTATGTCTTTTTGACAAGATGAATGGTTCCTTTTTGACAATGAATAATTTTCATTTAAAGAAAGTTTTTTTCTAAAGAAAAGACATCTTCAATTAAAGAATACATGCATAAATGAGACTCAGTACTATTAATTGTGTAAGTTATTCACACATTCAGGTACCTGAGTTATCTTTTTACAGCCTTCCAAATGATCATTTTCAAAGCAGTACCTTCTGCTGTATTTCATTGCAGGGAAAATGTCTTGTGTTCCTAAATGTCTGTTGTGATTAATATTGCCACAATAAATACAACCCGTAAGTTGATGCCTCTCAAAAGCTCTGTTACTCTTCTTCGTTGATGACACTTGCATCTTGATCCTTCTTTAAGTTCAAGCTGGCATCCACAAAACTCATGTTAACCTCATAAATATTTTCTTTAGTGGACTCGGTTAGCACATTAAACTACAATTAATCCATTGCCGACCAAGAACTACCAAGGGATTTCTATTTATGAAATCAGCCAAAGCTGATTTTAATTCCAAAAGCTTTGTGATTGATAAAAGTTTTCATCCAAGTCCAACATTGTTTTATATCAGTGACTCTGAATCCCCATTTTGATCAGATGCTTGATTATCATCTAACACAATGAAAGCCTAAGGGGCATAAACCTTTGGTAGGAGCCACAGTGATGCTGCACACTTCATGACATTGTTATGCAAATAACATGGATTATGTAGTTTGTACCCATTGCATCATGTGACTTGTCTTCCTTGTGGACACCCATGTATGTATGTGTCAAGCCCCATGTAGCTGGCAAACCCCAGAAGAACCATACAGATTTCAGAAAGGCATCTTTCATGCTAAGCAAGAGTGAAAACATAATCTTGAAACCCCTAAGAATTCCCAATTCTGCCTTATAGTGAGCCAATTAAGGCAGAATTTCTGGGCCCCATATCTGGGCTGTGTTGGCTCTTCTCACAGAAACCAACCTCCTGCACCGCCTGTTCCCCACAGTCACTCACAACATGTCAGTATATAGAACAGGAAGATATGTAATGGGCTCGTATCCTTCTCTTCATAAGTTTTTGTTATTAGGCAAGAACTCACATGGATTTCAACACAAGACAGAGAACCAGTTTTGAACCAGGACACAAGCGCTGCAATTTGCAGTGTGTTAGTCTTCACAATTATAGATCTTCTACATTTATCAGGAATACTCCCACCATCAGTGTGTCTGCTGGTCTGTAACTATATCAAGACTAGATACCCAGTATATTCTCAGTGATACATTCACAATGTATCCAGACTTTCATTGTTAAATTAGTAGAATTAACTCCTGCAGGATGTGGCAGTGTTCCATGGCTTAGCTGGCTATCTTTACAAAGTAATGGAGGACAGGGCATGTTGGCCACAACATTCGTATAACTGACTGCCAAGTGTAAGAGACAAACTCCAGGAAAATACTGCTTGTGGCATCGGACTTTGTTTTAAAAATAGGGCTGTCCAAATGGACTCCTGGTTTGCCCCAGCAGAGCTGTTCTTATTGAATTCTTATCTATTTAAATGTGCAATATTTTAAGAATACCAGAGTGTTCAAGATTGTGGTAAAGGGAAGGAAATATTACAAAATTCAGGAACTAGTTCATAGAACAATAAGACATTTATTAATTTGACCATGTAGATCATCCTTATGTCAAAAGAATGGTGTTGCATATAAATTAGCAGGAAAAAAATGAATATAAGGTTATTTTCTTTGGAATCTTACTGATGTAGCAAAAACCAATCATTGGACGAAAGATAAGTAACAGAAGAAGAGGAAACAGATTATGTTTATCTAAAATAATGTGTTCAGTCCTCTATCCCAAATGATGAAGGGGAATCCAACTTTATAGCTGAGGAGAAAGGCTATGAAGTTAAAAGGGATTATTTTAGTTCAGCGTTGATGGAAAAGATACAACCTCAAATATAAATATATCAGCTTTACAATGCAAAATACACTGCTAGAAATGTGCAGGAAATGGTTAGAAAGGACAAGTAATCTTTTCTTTTTAAGAAAAGCAAATCAAATCTTTACAAATTACCTGTCTTACACTGTGACTCATTAAACAAGTAATTAACCAGTTTATTAATATATTCACATATTTACATAACATTACAAATTAAAGTACTACCCCAGCTCGCTGCATGAGAGCAGGGTCTGACACAGGGAAAATAAATAGGCATTGCATGGAAATAAAGAAGCAGCAAGGCTTCCAGCCTACTAAATCTTTGGTATTTGAAATATAGCACAATGCAGCATTTCACTTACTCAACACAGGGCATTCAGTGAAGACAAGGAAGAGCAGAGTCCTAACACTTTGCGCACTTATGTAACTCCTCAATGACTGGATTCCCCATTCCCTTTCCTGAAATGAGAAGACTAACGTGTGCAAGGGGATTCACACTGATCACCCAGACCCAACCCGCAATCTCTCTCAAACCACTTCAAGCAGCAAAAGATGGCCCCACCTCCTTCCTTCGGTTGGGGCACACAGAAGGAGGAAAGGCAGGAGAAAGGGGGAGCCATGACACCAAGGGACAGGCAAGTGAGGTGACATTGCTGCCTGTGCTTTATCTGCCACAAATGGAGATGGGCAGTCTCTCCAGATCCACTGAGCATACCGAGTGGCATCTGTCTCTCTCTCTTTATGGAAGTTAATGCAGAAGCTGCGTCAGAAAGCATCTTGGAAGAAACTGTTTAGATATGGCTTCATTTATCCAAGTTCCACTAGACCCTGAGTTGCAAAATATTACCAAACACCAACTTTGTGGCTTTTAAACTATTATTCAAAAATGTTTTGGTCAAGCAACACATTTCTCCAGACCTTTACATTAAGCTGGTTCTCCCTTGCAAGACATATAAACAATGACGACACAGCATAACGCATTTAACTTGCAAACTAAAGGCAAAACCCTGCTCCATTAAAAACAGGCAAATCTCCTGATCAAGCAGTTTTGCCCACTTAAGGATCAGTCCACTAGACAAAGAAGTGCCAAGGTTATATTCCTAGACTAACATTTCAGGACAGGACATGTTATTACATACAATTCTGGAACCACAGATAAAGGCTGTCATTGGTTGCATCAAAATAATGCCCCCAATAAACCATTTTGCACTTCTCAAGACTAAATTATTATCTGCTGGTATTAAATTATGAAGATAAAATTCCAGAGAAGTTCAGAGCATTTCTAACATGGACATCTGCCCTTTCTCCTTTCTCCCTACTAATTTATCATTGCTTGATGACAGACTGATAAACGAATGTGCTACATGTGTTTGCAAATATTCAATAAGCAATAGGCAACCTTTCCGTTAGAAGCAAGTGTGAAGGAAGGAAGAATCAAACCTGTATCTTCTGGGATTATCTAGATACTCTATACAAGCATAGTGGAACAAAGATTTTACAACTTATGTATAATTAAATAACTGGTTCATTTAACATTAAGACAAACCTCAGTGTCTGGGAAAGTCAACTGGAGACTATTGATTATATCTGATCCAGAATCAATCCAGAGTCCCTTTGTGAATCAATAGAGGATAAATGTTTCTTGATTTGCATTTCTAATTGTAGCCTTGCACAAGTGGGCTACCTTTATAGAGGACACACCAGAGGAGCTTCTCTGGGAAATGTGAAATTGAACTATGCAGGAATTTGGATCTTCACAAATTCCAAAGTCTCTATATGAACTTTACCCAATATTTTGTGAGCTTTTATGAGCTGCTTGTGTATTTTCTCATTGGGTATTGTGCTTAAAATGTAAGTCACTACTGCTCAATCTGTTTTAAGAATACCACTTGTGTATTTTTTTCAAAACTAAGGGCTGGAGCATAAACACATCCTCAGAGGCTCTGTTTTTGGAAACTATAAGGGCCTTATTTTGTCCCAATAGCTTAAAACAATGGAAATCTCAGATGAAATATTATATGTGGCCATGGCTTTCAATTTAACCAAACTATGAAACCCAACAAAAGGGAAAAAAAGTTATATCCTTAAGAAATCATTCAGCTCATCTAAAAAAATGGAGGATCGGACACAGTATCATTCACCTGAATTGCTTCTTTTCTATGTAATACAATCACCTTAAGGACCCTCAATGCATTTTGCAAAGCTGTTAATCCTCTGACCCAAGCAAGGTCATAGGAGAGATACCTTGAACATTAGTAGAATTTTTAATAATGGTCAGGGAACATAATCAAACTATTCCCACAGCTTTCTCTATAAAATCGTAGAAATTCTCTTAAATATACAGAATTTAGCATACCGTATGGACTTGTGTATTAAAACCTACAGCTTTGTATGGAATATTCTATGTTAGGGAGCTTTTTCTATAAATTCCTTTTTTCAAACATATCCCACAATCCCTTTTTAAAAATTTGGTTCCATAAAATATTTTAATAAAAGACACTGATAAGCCAGTTAAAACAACCCTGGACTTCAATTCTAAATTTGCCTGTATTCTTTCTCCCCACCACCATTCACTAAATGGCATGCAAATCATGCTGAATTTATGCTTAGTCCCCAAAAAGTGTATTTAGAGATTACAGAACTGGTGAGGTGTGCAATTATTGGCCAAGTTAATTAGTGCCATAAGATATTTCAAGAGAAATAATATTGACCGCATGACTAATGGAATGCTCAAACATTTCTCTCCGGAAGCAGTCATAACTGATAACTGTCATCAGAGATATCAATTAACAGAAAGGTAAAGCTGATAAACTGCTAGACGTATTTAGTATTCACTGTGGATGGAATGAAATGAAGCATTTTTAAAAGAAGTCTGTTTTGAAATGATTTTTCAGGAAGGTGAGGTTAGAGTTTTGTACTGGTCCCCAGTGGTGGGAGGCTGTAAAGCAGCTTCTTTGCACAGCTCTGACTGAGATATTAAAGCTGTCAGCACAACGTCTTCAGGAATTCCAGTGTTAGGTCTGGAAAGTTTCAACAGACAGAAGGGCTGCATTTCAAATACTTAGCAAGATGAAAAATGCTTTGCCGATGCTTCAATGGGGCTTTTAAGGTCCCTGAAATTTATGATCAAAAGTACCAACTGGATCTGAAACTCATTCATCCTCTTCTACATAGGTAGATGGAAACCAGCCCACCTAAATGAGAAAAGAAAGAAAAAAAGAAGCACGTGATCCGATTGGACTTTCTTTGACTCAAGGTACTTTTGTGTATGACCCTCCATTCAAACAGAAAATGATTCAGAACAGTGAGAAAAGGATAAAAAGTGTGCAGTAAACTCATTGTTGTGGCAGAACATTTACTGTTTCTTTGGAGAAATACGCATTTAATCATCAATGGGCCTGACTGAAAATCAGATGTGGTTCTCAGCCAATATGCTTGTTTCAACCTTTTCAGAACGGAGATGGAAACTAAATTCTGTTCCTTCTATGAAAAATAGGGTAGCTTTACCTGCTAACATACTTTCTGGCAGCATGAAAGCATAGCTGCAACCCAACAGATGGGGCCACTTTGCTCCTTTCCCCTGTTGGCTAGAGGGGCAGCGAGCATCTGATGAAGTGTGCGGTAGCTCACAAAAGCTTATGCCTTTTAATAACTTTTGTTAGTCAGAAAAGGTGCTCCCAGGCTTTTGATTTTTTTTTGGGATACCCGACAGCAAAGGAATTTCCTGCTGCTCCAATCATCTTTCCTACGGGATAGGCAAAAGAGAAGCATTCGGTCCCGTGGTGGGGCAGTGGCTGAAACTCCCTTCCCTCTGCATTTCTCTTTCCCTTTCTCCCAAGGGAACACGCACAGTAGTGCTTATACGAGTCAGACCTTCCCATTTCTCATTCTCTGTTGCTAGAAAGAAAGATGTGGTGCGTGCTTTCCTCCTCTAGCTTTTTGTCCAATTCTGGAACGGAGGACAGATGCTGGACTGCTGCAACATCACTAGGGTAAACCCCCCCCCCCTCTTTAGCTTCAGTGTTAGGAGGAAGGATTTTTGCTTATCCTGTTCACCAGATAAAAGGACTTTGATGGCAGGCAGATTTAGCAAAGAGGCTGTCATTTGAGATAGCCCCTTTCTGAATGAGCCCATTTACACGTGCCTTCATTTGGAAGGTGAGAATTTGGTTCAGAAATGAAGTACAAATTGTTTTGGGCCTTCAATGGAGGTTCTGATTTGTTTTGAAAGGCAAAGGGAAAAAATTCTTATGGTGTCCTTTTGTTAATTTAAGCACATAATTTATGGTTGGAAGATGTGAAATCCCTCTGGATTCAATGGGGTATAGACCCAAACAAGTAGATATAACCTTGCAGTCTAAATTTCAGAAAGACAGCAAAAATGTTTTGCATACATTAATATCAAAATATTCATGGGAAATTAATAAACATTCAGTTCCAATATTCTTAATAGCATATGAATACATTACATAAAAATTAAGAATCAAGAGGAAGAGAGAGAAAGGAACCTACCCTTCCATTGACTTCACCTCTCCACCAGCCATTGGCACTAATTTTTGTGTAAATTTTGACCACATCTCCTTTGAGCAGGGATAATTCACGCATGTCCCTTGCACAGAAATCATAGCGGGCAATGGCTATCCCTAGGACTTTGGGACTCAGCACTGGGGAAAATACAGGAAGGCAACATTATTAGAAGTTTCATAACTGCACCGCATCTGAGTAACATCAGCAATTCTTTCTGTATACAAGTCTAGTACAAGTGCAAGCAGAAGTATTTTTTAATGCAGAAATGTGTGACCTTATGGAACAACATGAATGAAATTCATTCCATTAAATCAATCTTATTGGTTAGATTTTTTTAAAATTACATCTTTCTAAGAAGATCATTTACTGGGATCTCTAAAGATATTCTCTGTACATCTAAGGCTTTTTGCTTCTTCTCTCTCATGGCAAAGGCATTTCTCTAAAGCAGCTGCTTCTTGATGTCAATGAATCCTCCAAAGTTGTAGGAAGAACCAAAAAAAGATAGCACCTTCTTTTTCTCCCTTCTTGATTCAAAGATACTGATAAATGTGACTCCTTGAAACGTGACCATTCTACTGAAATCAATGAGGCATATTTCTAAGGGCAAGATATTCCCCAATGATTCCTAAATAAAATATTTCTGGACTGAGAACACTTTTTCCAGGACATTAATGTAAAGCTCTGGAGTTTCAATGTCACTAAGAAGTACAAAGAAAAACTACAGAATTTACTAACTGAAATCAGTTTGGATTAGATGTTCAAATAACAAATAAAACAAGTTAAAAAGAATTAGAAAAGTTTTCCCTTTGAATGTCTTGCTGTTTCTCTTTAGGAGATTTTAGCACACACAAAAATAACTTTCCATCGAAATCAATTAAGTGTAGGAAAACTCAGGTTGAAGTCCCCTCTAGACCATGGCCTGGATAGGTTTAGCAGTCTCTCAGCCCGAATTATTTCACAGACTGTTCAGCAGCCTTGGCTGCCTTAGAGGAAACTCAGGATACAAATGTACTACAAATGTAAAGATGTAAATGTAATAAATAAATTACATATTTCATGCACTTAACAATGATGTCTAAATGTGAAACCTTGCCCCCATTAAATACAATTAGATACAAGTAACGGCACTGTGTTTATGACTATACCTAAACATACTATAGCTGTAACTTATTTAGAATTATATGCTCAGGCTTAACTGTGTGATAAACTTACTAGTATTAACGAACACACAGGGGAAAGTGGTACAGACATAATATTCTGGATGACAGTATAATTTGCTATTTTCTCTCAGTCATTCCTTCTCATGCTCCTCTTTCTCCAGTGCAGAGCAAGTTCTTTTCAACCATGGCCATTGAGACCTTCCCCAATATGAAGATCCTATTTAGATGTGTTAGACTAGTGTGTGTACACGGTCATATAAGCAACAAATAACATCTCACAGATATATTGTGTTCTATAGTGTGTTGTTTGGTTTTGTCAAAGGTTTCATCAATAATACTGTTATTTTGTGTTTAAGACTTTATGATATGATGTCATATTCTTCTTCACGTCACTGTATAAAGAATAAAGTGTCAGCCATGTTTGAAGTATCATCTTGATTGGAAAGCGTCCTGACTGAACCAGCATCTCCAGATATCAAAATACTCTGCTAACAGCTTCTGGGCCCAGATGCAGCCTCAGTCTGTGTGAATCCTGCTGCAGTGACAGTCACAGCTCAGCTACACAGCAGAAACTGTTGGCAAGAGGAAGGTCAGAAAGCAGAGGTAATGGCTACTAACAATGCTTTGGCAAAGTTCTCAGTAGCTAACCTGACTAACCAGAATTACTAATCTTGGAAGTTTAAAATTAAGATGCTGCTAATAAGAGAAGGCACATGGAAGTGTATACAAGGGGCCACGCTAAACCCCCACAGAGGAGTGGCTAGAGAAAGATCGAAAGGCGCAAAGCACCATCTCCCTTAGCATAGATGATGATCAAATCACGTACATATGCCATTGTGACACTGCAAAAGAAATGTGGGAGGAGCTACATAAAGTACATGAGAGAACAAACCTCAGCAATAAACTATACTTAATCAGAAAGCTGAACCAGATGAAGCTGTGGAAAGGCCAGCATATACAGGACTATAGTAGATGTACCTTAGAAATGGTGGCACACCTGCGAGGCGTAGGAGAGGAAAGAAAAGACTTCCACGTGGCAGCACTACTGCTCAGCAGTCTCCCAGAGAGGTATGAAACACCTGTCACTTGATGCTCGCCCAGATGGTGAGCTTGCACTAGCGTACGTTAAAGGCAAACTTGTGGACGAATACAAGTGCAAAACAGAAAGTGCAAACAGCAAAGGTGCTCCAGAAAAAGAAACCCCGTTAAAAACTAAGGATCGGACTAAAAACTGTAATGTGCAACATGAAACACGTGAATATTTTGTGTGCAAAAAGCCAGGTCATTTAAAGGAAAACTGCAGAGTCTGGAAAGCTAGAATGAATCAACTAAAGAGACAAGCTAACCACCAAAAGGCCAAAAGTGTTAAATTAGAAGACACTTCAGACCCTGAGTCCGCCTTTTCCTCCAAGGAGGGTGCCTCATCATTTCATGCCTGGTGTACTGACTCAGGAACTACAAGTCACATGACCAATGACAAGAATTTCTTCACTCATCTGGACCAAAGCAAACGGAAAGAATTGCCACAGCTAATGGACAGTTTATGGTCTTAGAAGAAGTGGGAGAAGGTTACCTTCACTGCCCTGTCTTTCAAACAGTCACCAGAAAGATACCTGTCAAAAATGTGCTATATGTACCAGCTCTTGAAAATAACTTGTTATCTGTGAAGACACTAACTAAGCAAGGGAATGTAGTTACATTCAGGGGTGACAGCTGTATTATCCCCAAAGGGAGTCACTTACTCCAAAAGGAAAAATCACAGATGACCTGCATCAGCTGGACTGCAGTGAAATGGTTACGGGTGCCAAAGAGGAAAGACAGAGGAACTGTATTCATGCAGGGCACTGTCAGCTTGGGCACAGAAATCCTGAAGTGACAAAAAGACTAGTGCAAGAGCAGCACGCCAGGAGCATAAAAATTGGCCCATGCAGTCAGATAATGAAATGCACTAGTTGTATAAAAAGAAAAATGAAGAAACCCTTTCCAAAAGCCAGCAACAGTACAGCTCAACAGCCTCTGGACCTAATTCACACTGATCTATGTGGTCCAAGAAAAGCTCAGACTCCAGGAAAGAAGAAATATTTGCTCACATTTATTGATGACTACTCTAGGCACGCCATACTCTACCTGCTACACAGCAAGGATGAAGTACCAGAAGTGCTAGAAGAGTATCTTGCCTACGTAAGCAATACGTTTTGTAAAATGCCAGAAATACTTTGTGAAGATAATGGGACTGAGTACACAAGTGGCAAAACACAAGCAATCCTGAGAAAACACGGAATTATGTTCCAGGCTACTGTACCATACAATCCAGAACAAAATGGTGTTGCGGAGAGGATGAACCGCACTTTGTGGGAAAGCGGAAGGAGCATGCTTTTTGATTCAGATAGGCCTACCACATATTGGGGAGAAGCAATTATGGCAAAACAACAGAGAAAACTCCATCCAAACTATGGAATGGAAAGAAACTTAATCTGAAACACATTAAGATTTTTGGTAGTAAAGCCTATGAATCTTTTCCCAAAGAAAAATGTACAAAGTGGGAAACCTATGCTAATAAAGGTATCCTTGTCAGCTACAGTGAATCTCAGAAAGGGCACAGAATCCTGCATCAAAACACCAATAAAGTAACCATCAATAGGAGTGTCATTATTGATGAAACCTCTGTCAGTTTAAAGTTTCATAAAGTGAGATCAGCTGCCCATTCTGAAGAGGAGCCCCAACCACTACAACAAAGCACTGAGATTGAAATAAACACAAATGATAAAAGTACTGAAAAAGAAGAATGTAAACCATCTACACTTTCAGTCAGAAAATCAGCAAGATCCAATAAGGGCATCCCAGCCAGACATTTGTCCTACATGGTCCATACCGTGCCACAGCCTGAACCAGCATATCTTATTTTAACGTTGATCAAATAAACTAACTTTATATTCCTTCCTTTTATTTCTAACAGTCTTAATCTTTAGTTCATTCGAATATTGTTGTAGGATTTGATTTGATTTGGTTTCTTCTTTGTCTTATCACACACAGTTCTTTAAGGCTTCAACAAGCCTCTTTTGTAAATCCAATAGAAAAAAATTATCCAGGTCACTCTCTTGGTTTGTCATTTGTATTTCCTTTTTAAAGTTTAAAACCTCAGCCAGTTTCTTTTGTAAATCCAGTGAAACATCCTTTTCTAAGTCATTCTCTTGGCCTGTCTGTTGCAAATCCACTTTCGATACCATCTCTATTTAGCCAGACAAAATTTGTTCTATATCTGTCATTTCTCAATAACATCTTTTGGGCATAGTCTATCAGACATCATTACTGACAGTGCTGATATTGTAGCTATTTTCTAATTCCATTCTTCAAAAGTCTCCTTTAGTATTTTTACTGTTATAACATTTTGCATCATCTTATAGGTTTGTTAATCTTTCCTCTACCTAAAAACTTTAGTCCCCTCTAGCGTTCAGTTTTTGAAATGATACCATCTCTATTTAGCCAGACAAAATTTGTTCTATATCTGTCATTTCTCAATAACATCTTTTGGGCATAGTCTATCAGACATCATTACTGACAGTGCTGATATTGTAGCTATTTTCTAATTCCATTCTTCAAAAGTCTCCTTTAGTATTTTTACTGTTATAACATTTTGCATCATCTTATAGGTTTGTTAATCTTTCCTCTACCTAAAAACTTTAGTCCCCTCTAGCGTTCAGTTTTTGAAATCCTAAAATTGCTTATCTTTGTTATGTCTTCTAAAAACCAAAACAGAATCTATTTCCCACAAGAAGCCATTTGTTCTTTATAATTTTCCAAAATCGTATTATAAAAGTTTCAATATTCCAATTTTATCTGGACTCTTAGTCAGTTTATAACTTTCTAAGATCAAATCTTATTTAGCTTTTTATTGTTTATTTCAGATTCTTTAAATCCTTAAACTTATTATTAACATTTTCTTTCATTCAGGATTGAAAGCAGACACACCCGGAGTT